TAGTTTTGGGGATCAGATTTTGTGAAATAAGCAGGAACGCAAAGCAAAGCATTACGGTTTTCAAATTACACAAAAGCTGCAGGAATGACTTAAATATTTTTTTTCATTCCTGATATGTTTAAACATTTTTGTTATTGTTATAGGCTATTATTCTCTATATCATGTCAGTTTTCATAGCATATAATGGAAATATTTGATGCCTTATTCTCAGTGGTTTACAAACTGTGCAGCATTATGCAGAGTTAGCATCAAGTCATTGTTTATCCACCTGGGACTCAACTTCTCTGTTTTGCTTCACCCTTTGCACCCTCACAGTTTTGTTTTACAGCACAGCTGGCTGTCGTTTTCAAAGAAAAGGGATCGAGAAAGTCACTTCTGTTTAGCGTCACACAGAAAAGAGGGGAGTGTGAAGCACTTATCAACACAGGACCAGCAAGTCCTTCAGAAAATGGGTGTGAGTTTACCTAAACTTAACTGTTTGACTACCCCCTCTAATCAAATGTAGTGATTTCAACATTTAGGCTGCACTTGTTATTAATTAGCTTGTTGAAAAAGGAAAAAAAGACAGAACAAGGAGAACCATTGTTGACCTCCACAAGTTTGGGATTCAATTTTCAGACACTCCAATTTACATTAGATTTGGCTCTACTAAGTAAATATGCACCCATTATAAATGAATGAGAGCATTTACACTGCCTCTGCAGAGCCACACAGGCAGATACGGTCCTTAAAGTCCTCCCAATATTAAAAAAAATACAGTGGAATCCGCTTATAGTGATCACGTTGGTCCAGAGCCAATTTGAACAATATAAGCGGTTGATTAGAATATACTATATACTTTTTATGCAGAATATCATCTAAATGCCATTTGTATGGTTTTTCAATGAGAAAAATGAAATGAAACTGATAGCTTTCGCATTTACTGAATTTTATTACAGTACCATGCCAGTTTAGTTAAAGTATACTGTGCTGTGAGCAGACATAACTCTGGTAGCCTGGTGTCACCGGTGCATTTTTTTTTAACAAGTCTGAAACAAACATTTTCATAGAAAAACATAAAAGATAACTGCATAGGCTACAGAAAATTAAAGCTAGCCTATGTCTGTTTTGTGTTGAGGATCTGCTGCACCGCATTAAGAACCCACTTCACATGTTTATCCATCTTTCCCTGGATCAGGGTGTTGTCCAACACCAAGGTCACTTCTTTTTTAAAACGATGTAAAAGATCAAAGTTTTTTAATCAACATGCAGGAGACCAGTTTTTAAAATGCAAACTGCATTCCTCATCTCAGCTCTGGAAGAGACAACAGCCTCCTCTTCTTCATCTTCATCCTCCTCCTCCCTCTCCTCGCTGCGTGGAGCACTGGTCCCCGCACCAAAGTGCTCTTGTACCTCTGCCATGACGTCCTCATCCATCACGTGCTGTCATCACTTTTGATCCACTTATTAAATATTTTTGAACATGTTTACATTCATAAAATGTCCAAAAATGAACACTATAAGCGGATTTCTTTATACCTAAAAACAAGTTATTTAAACAGCATTTGTATAGAAATGATTCTGTCCCAAGCCTTTTGAACAATGTAAGCGGTTGATTACTATATCCGTGACCACTATAAGCGGATTCCACTGTATTAGTTTATTTATACATGTATATGTATATCAGCTATTTTATGCACTATATCCAATAATGGGAGATAAAGAATAACTTAATCAATCAATCATAATAAATAAACTTTAAATCAATGCAGAAAAGTGTGTTTTTTTGGTCTTTTTTCAGCATTTACTAGCTTGTATTGGGCTTTGTACAGCAGGGCAGTGAAGCTGGTTCCAATGTAACTTGGAGGTAAATGGTGCCACTTCTATATGTTCAAGTATTTCAGCAAACTGCATAGGAATATCAAGCATTCAAGTTATGCAAATTTGTCCTTGCATCCACAGTGGTTAATGTAGGACTAATTTTATTATTGACTAAATAAGGCAAAATCAGATGGCATTGAACAGTTTTTGTTACTGAGAATAAGTAGAATACTTGTTTTCTTTTTATTTTATTCCAAACAAGCCCTTAAGAATAAACACTGAATGCCTTTCATTTCATAAACAGGCAGAATCCCTTTAAGTTTTAGTTCTGTAATTATTTACTCATGCCTATCTGCTGAGGGATTCAATTTTCAGACACCTACTAACCCCCAATTTGCATTACATTTGGGCCTAATCTGCGGTAAATATGCACCGATTATGAATGAATGAGAACATTTAAACTGCTGAAAATGTTGGAATTATTTGTTTGTTTATTGAAAATATGGTGACATTTGTTTATTGTATATCAGGTAAAAAAACCTTGGTAAACCTTTTCACATTGTTTTGCAAAAACAACGTTTGTAGAGGTATCAGATGTACAGAAGTAGTTACTTCTTTTATGATGACAGAAAACTAAGGTGAGAAAAAAGCAGCTTGTCACATCTGGTGAATGTATATCTGAATTATTAATTTTGAGATGAGGTTTTTCCTGAGGGAGGATTAAATTAAGTTTGCAGCGTTGATACTGCATGGTGGCACCATTTAAAGAAAGACTTTGGTTGAGTAATTTTCTCAAGCAAGTTCAAAAACAGTTCAGCCCCAAAGGCTCTAAAATAAATGTAAATTGGAAATTTTGGCTTGAGGCTTTTAAATTGATTAGAGTAGAATTTACCTACAACAATAGAAAGGGCCTATTCAGCTTCTAATCTAAAGTCTTCTGCTACCTCAAATCTCTTGCCATATTAAAACACAATAATGAAATAAAGCGCGAATGGTTTATGTGCTACAAACTAATTCAATTTCTTCAGAAGAACTTGGACTATAAATAGTAGAGAAATAATTAGATTCCTAACTCTTAACGCGATTTTCCTTCTTTGACACAAAAACAAACACAAACAAGCAAATGGACCTCAGAGACTGTCAGGATTAAGTGCTTCAGACGTCAGTAATTCAGCTTTGATTTTTAAACAGTTTTTTTTTTACCATTCATGCCTGGCTGAATACTCAGCTTGTTTTATGATCCTCCCTGGGCACTTCCTGTTCTGCTCTAATATTCTGTTCTTCTTTTCCATCATCTTTTTAAAATATTACTTGTCTTCTTGCTAATTTTTCTTTCTAATGGTAATTTCTCCAAACACAAACAGGATTCGCCCCGAGGGATAAAAGTGGAGAGATGAACCGGGTGCAAAGAGAGGCTGGTTAACAGCGCTGTGAAATTTCCTCCCATTACAGATTTGCTTATTTTGCTTTTATTTATCTGTCTATTTTTCTATTTTCTATCTATCTATCTATCTATCTATCTATCTATCTATCTATCTATCTATCTATCTATCTATCTATCTATCTATCTATCTATCTATCTATCTATCTATCTATCTATCTATCTATCTATCTATCTATCTATCATCTATCTATCTATCTATCTATCTATCTATCTTTTTAACATTTTGTATGATAAATGAAAAAAAATAAAATGATACTGTATGTAAAAATGCATCAACACTGGTTAAAATCACAGATTAACAGACTCACCACTGATTTTGAAACAGAGTGAAATTGTATCAGCAACAACCAGGCCTCTTACTGCCAAACCCGTTGATTAAAAAAAATCCCTTGAACATACTTAAGCTGATAACATTAAAGAGGCGGAAAGATTTCAATTTCAACACATAATACCATCTTAATTTTTCCCGACCTCCTTCGAACATGGTGGTGGTAGTGTTATGGTGAGGGGCTACTTTGCTGCCTCTGCACCTGAATGACTTGCTTTCAGTTATTGCAACATGGATTTTCTACCTGGAAATTGTGAAGGATGATAAACAGCCATTATGTAACCCTAGGCTCAAACATATTTATATTAAGTCCACCCCTCACTGTTGGTCCATGGACTGTTCTCCCTGCTTCCATCTGGAAAGAAGCTTTGCAGCATCCGATGCAGGATCAGCAGGTTCTGCAACAGCACTTTCCCTGCTGCCATCAGACTTTTGAACTGTTGAAACTCTAATCAAGTCACTAATCAGGATTCTGCATCACACTTTTAAACATCATATTTGCTCTACCAACATGGCAGATTTTTTTTCTTAATCTCTTTAAACAAAACACAACGCAATGTTCTACTACATTTTGCACCATATTTATTCATTTATCTCCACTCCATTTATGTTTTTTTATTATATTTTATACACTGTTTCATTCTGATCACTGCTGCACTTTAAAAATTGAAATTTTAATTTACACACTGTGTATGCCGAATGAAAATAAAGCTTGTCTAAGTCTAAGTCTAAGTGGTTTTAGAGTGGTCTAGTCAAAGTCCGGGCTTCAAGTTCTGCTAAGATGCTGTAGCATGATCTTAAACAGGCCATCCTTGTTCAAAAAACCCTCAATTTAAATGATTTAAAGCAGTTCTGGAGAAGTATAATGGGTCATGTAATGTAAAAATAATTGCAACTCATCCAAAATCTTTGCTGGAGGTAGTGTTGGCCTAGTGGGTTAGAGGAGTGCATTTAGAAGTTTGCAAGTACCTGGTTCCATCCCCACAGCCTGCACTCTGGGTTCCTGAGCAAAACCCTTAGCCCACACTGCTCCTCGGGCATCACACAATGGTAGCCCACTGCTCCTCAATTGGATGGGTTGAATACAGAGAGTGAATTTCCTCATTGTGGGACAATAAAGGGTTTTTATTTTTTACATCTACAGCTCAGAGAGACACTATCTAATAGGTTTACAGGGTTTTCCTTCCACAAACACCCAAGATGGTTTGGATTGTCGATTTTCCTTTATTTGGAAAGAAATCATCACTTGAAAACTGTACTTAGGCTATCTGTGTCAGATTAAAATCTGTTGATTATATGAATAAACATGAGTGTCACAAAAAAGTAAAAAGTGGAGAAATCATGGTGGGGGTACAAAATGCGCTGTAATCTAGGACTTATTCTTTAGTGCCTCATTTTTACTGGGAGAATATGACAGTCAGGACTTACTTGTGGTGTTGTATCTAACACCATAAAACATCTCAGGGCAGGGCCGTGACACCATCTGGCCGGCGCTGCTCCTGGGCCAGCAGGTGCCGATGCCGTCGATAGAGGTTTCACAGTAGATTGCTGAGCCTGAATGATGAGAAAAATGTCAGCTGAATATTTCCGACTACAAATAAACATGAAACTCTGACAATGCAGCAGGAAATAAACTGTAGTTGACGATGCTGCTTGTGCATGCACAGGGTTTTAATGATTACTCCTGTGCTTTGTTTTGCTGAGCTGGGAACGTCGTCTCCGGTGCCTGATCTATTTCCAGCGCTGCTCTCGTCTTTGATGTTAGTTTTTAAAATCTCAGTCTGTGTCTGACTTCTCTCCCCTGTGTGGTATTCCACAGCGATTGTGCTTTGTAGTGACTTCATGGGGAATCGGTTTAACACATCCGAGGGGTGCAGTGTGTACAACTCACCGCTCCACTGGCTCGTGGTGTTGCTCAATGTTTGGTTCCAGGACGCCATCAGGGAATGCACTACAATCCAACGGGAAACAGCTTCATCAGCAAACTCATTCCTAATTTGCACATTATATTCAAGGTCATAAAAAAAAACCCTTATTAGATTTTTCTTAAGATCCAGAGACAGTAAGCGTTAAAGGGCAATGGTAAACATCAGTGACAGACCTTTCCTCAAGCAATACCAGAATGCTACTTGCAAATATGTGCCCTGAAGGTCAAGCTATTATTTCTGTAATAACTCTGAAGTATTTGGATAAAACGAATCCGGAAATAAGGGATGCTCCCCTGGGGAAAAGGTGGCACTCAATATTGAGCTCTCATCACCTTTTCCTATAACCGGTGTTTTCACACATATGTACTGCAAAAAATAGGAACGAGAAAAGAAACAAAAGCAAAGCAAGTTGTTGCCAGAAACATGTTTTAAGAATTTTAAATAGTACAAATAGGGTAAATAACGTCAATATAAGGATTTTATTTAGGGGTTTGAATGTGATTATGGTGTTTTGCGACCTTTAAAAGCCACAACACCTGAAATAATTTTATATGTCTGCATTACTACTGTCTTATAGTCTAAATTTATTGGTTCAGAATCCATGGATTTCGACAGCATATTATGTAATACATTAATATAAAAAATTGGATACATAAATCATTTAATAACTTGGTCTATTTTTGAAAGGAGATATTTAGGGCTACAGGAGAGCTATGGCATGGTGTCTCAGCATCATTCTGCCTCACAGTGGGATGTATTGTGTGGTTAATTTGGAGGATTGGATGTCCCTGTAATCCTGCCAATGTGGGTGTTGGATCAGAAAATGGGTCGTTGAGGAAAGGCACCAATAAACAGCCACCCTGCCATTTAGTTTGTAGGAAATATCATGTATCAGTATATACAGCACAAAGCGAAGAAGTGAATAAAAAGCTTTTTATTTAAAATCAAATTTAAAAGTATAGATATATGTATATAAAACTGCATTAAAGCATCTGATAAAAGTACATTCAAATCAAAGCTTGCTTTGATAATTGACTTGCAGCTGAGTCGGTATCAGAGTACCAAATGTAAAGTATAAATGTCCTTTAGAAAGACTTATAAATGCTTAGTAATAAGACAAAAAAAATGTTAGTACCTCAGAAGTAATTTATAGTAAGAATTTTTGCAGGTTTTCCCCACTACAAAGCAGGGGGAGGTCTTTGTTGGGTTAATTAATTGTACATAAGTTATTCTACTTTAATCATATTACTTTAATCATATTATACTTACACATTTTGTTATCTCTATCTTACTCATATTACAAAGAGTGTTAAAACATTTAGTTTTGTTTGCTGTGTCATTAATGTTTTTTAAGTCTGTGCAGGAGGGATGCTGACTGCGACTGCTGTTAACAGATGTCGTTAAGGGTGTGGAGGAGAATGGAGAACTGTGCAACTAGATAAGGAGAGGGGTTCTCCTTATCCTATGATGTTGTATGATGTTGTATGATGTTGTACGAAAATTCTGGTTTCAACTGGGTTCTGTTCCCTCCCCCTTTAGCGGTTGAAACCACATTGTAATCAGGGCGTTTTTTCAATAAAGGGCTTGGAGAGCAGATACTGCTTCAGAGTGGGTTTGAAGTTGTAACTGAATGCAGTTTCTGATCCCCTCTCCTTGCAAGTAAAATATACTCAATTCTCTGTGTCATTCTTTGTGCAGGTTGCTGAATAAGGTGTTTGGTGTTCAAACCTAACATTAATTGGTCCTTCGAGCCGGATTGCAAGACACCTGACGATTCCCAGCAGGTAAGCGAGACCCAGATAAGCCTGCGGCCGCAGCAAATAGACCCTTTACGGGACTGGTCTCTCCCTTACAGGCTGGGGTCCGACGGTTGAAGCATTTCAAGGACGCAGAGAATTGTGAGTAGTTTTTTCCTTTAATAAGGAGTGAGTGAGAACCGTGAGAGAAAAAACAGCAAACAGTTTAAACCTCGTGAAGGACGGCGGTGTCCTCTATTTTTAATAGTTAAATTCCGCGTGGGGTGACGAGGTCCCCCTGTTGTGCTAAAACCCTGACAATTCTAGACTCTATCAGGTAAAACAGAAATTTTAAAACAGTTAAAGTCCGCGGGAGGGCAGTCTCCCCTAGTTGTGAACTAGTTAAATTCTGCGTAGGACGGCAGCGTCCTCTGTGTTTAAAATAACGTAAACGGAAATAAAGTAAAAGTTAACTGCGCAGTGTTTGTGTGTGTGTGTGAAAGGAAATATAGATATCACTAGATATCTGTATTTCATACCAAAAAGACAAGGGTTAAATGGTGAGCTTTTGTGGATGTTTGTAGACAAGAAAACTCCACCTGTAAGGGTTGAAGTGAGTTTTACCACAAAAAGTCGTTGATCACCATCTTGTCTGAAGCTCCAGTGTTTAGAACACGACAGGTGTTGAAAACCCACTGGGCCCAAATTTAGTTCAAAATGGGAAAGGGGCAAAGTAAAGAAAAACAGAAGTTATTGGAGGAACTCCAGTGTAAAGACTGGAAAGCAGTTGAAAATGATGACCCATTGGCGGCAGAGCCGTTGTGTTACTGGATAAAAAACTACGGTTTTAATGGTAAATTGAGCACCACAAACATAAAGGAATTGCAGCAAAAAATAAAAACAAAAAGCAAAAATAAAGACACTTTGATGGCAAAAGAAGGTTACATGCAAACCATGGTTTGGATGAAATTAGCAGGACAGAGAGAAGAGGGAGAGCGCAGAGCTAAAAGAGAGAGAGAGGAGAGACAAAGAAAAGAGAAAGAAGGGAAAGAAAGAGAAAGTGAAGAAAGAAAAAAGGAAAAGGAAAGATCAATAATGTTTCATAGAAAGGAAGATGACGAGTACGTAGGGCCCTATTCTGACCTGCTACATCAAATACATAATCTCCCACAAATGGGAGGTGCTGCCGCTGCAGCCGATCCCTCAGCTCCGCCACTCACGGGGGATCCTCCACAATATACTCCCCCACAGCATATACCTCCTCCAGAAGGATCATTGAAAACAGCCCCTCTTCAAGCAGCTTCTCCACAAGCTAATACCTCCCAGGGATATATTACTAGGTCCAAAGGTTCTGTAGGAGATTGGTCAAAAACTTTAGCGACAACATTTAGTGACATTCTGTCCCCACAGGCACTCCGAGTGATGCCTGTAAAACAGGAAGGTGTAGGAGAAGTCCTTACGCTTCCTTTAATAGAATTACCAAACCCCTTAGCGGGCCAGGTTGAAGGAAATAACCGACAACCAGCCACAATAATGGTATATAGAACCTGGACACAGGAAGATGTTAGAAAAGCAGTAGAAGGAATTCCCCCTCCAAAGGAGGATGTAGAAGAATGCATAATTCAAATGGAAAATCTGAGAAAATCTTACCATTTAAATGGTGCAGAGGTTCAGCAAGTCTGGATGTGCCAATTAGGAGCAGAATGGCACCATGTTAAAGGGAATTTTGTGCCAACTACAAACGCTGATCCTCCTACCCCTTTGCAACCAGACTCCACAGACTTAGGAACAGCAGTTGAGCATTTGATTAATCGTATCAGGGACAGATATCAGAAGAAAGCAAATTATACAGAGATAGGGAGATGCAAGCAAAAGCAGGACGAGTCTTTCGATGAATACAGGGTAAGGATGGAAAAAACATTCAGGGCACATAGTGGACTGCTCTTTAATGACAATGATGATGGGGCATTTAAACAGCAGTTGAAGAATGCACTGCATGCAGGATCATTACCAGAAATCAAAGGATGGGTTGAGCGCCACCACATAGACATGAGTGGTGGAACGCTCCAACAATATCTAAATCACGCCCTGCATGCAGAGAAAGTCATAAAAAGTAAAAAGAATAAAAGTAAAGAATCCACTGTGTTTTATCAGGAGGAGGAGGACACTGTGTTTTATCAGCAGTCCAGAGGTAGAGGCCGAGGCAGAGGCCGTGGAAGGGGAAGAGGTTTTGGATCACGCTCAACTGATAATTCCAGAGTGTGTTGGTCATGTGGAAAAGAAGGCCACATGGCTAGGCACTGTCGAAGCAACCCACAAAATGCAGGGAGCTCAGCATGACTAGATGAGCAGCCATTTTCTATTAGAGAGAAAGAGGATGAAAATATGGATGTCTTAAACCTAGAAGATTTGTTTTTTGAAAAAAATATAGACCTGAAATAGTCCTCATGGTCCAGGGCACTCCTGTGAAGTTTTTGTGCGATACAGGAGCATGCAGGACCACTGTAAAAGAAACCATACTACATGCACCCTTAAGTTCAAATTACTCAATAGTGCGTGCGGCCCAAGGTGTCACAAAAAAGGTTCCAGAGACTGAGCCGTTGTGGCTCAGAGACCCTGAAGGAAAATCATGTCAGCTGCCTGTTTTACTGTTGCCTGAATGTCCAGTTAACCTATTGGGCAGAGATGGCCTGGTGGCGCTTTCCCTAGCCATCATGCCAACTCCAAATGGTTTGAAAATCATTAGACAAAAACCTGAAGAAGTGTTTGTTCTCAGGGGAACTGGAAGCCCAAAATACTACTACGCCTTAGATGTTCCGAATAAACCCCCCACGTCCACTGGAGCTTATCTTATGGAGGAAGGTAAACAGGCAGTCAGGAATGTACAAGATCAAATGCCTCCTGATGATCTGCATGTAACCATGTGGTATAGAGGCCAACCAGATGCCCAGTATAAGCAACAGCTAGATAAAGCTACCCCTGAAAAAATCACAGTCTCTTATGTTTACTCTGATGTGGAGTCTAGCTCCGCAGCAGCAGTACTCCTTCCAGCATCTTTGCTTCCCTTGTTCCACCAACATTGGAAGCCACACATTTCCTTATGTAAGGCAAAACAGGACAAATGGCAAGACCTGGGGAGATTGGTTCAGAGAGGGGAACGAGCCTGCGACTGGATAGCAACCTTTGTGAACACATGGTACAGTGCATCAACAGAACTAACAAAGAAAGCTTTGTTCTGGACAGTAACTGTTCAGGCGGGAGTCCATTTAGATGAAGAACAACAGTGA